CCCTCCTCCTCTTTCTCCTCCCCTCCCCCTCCCCCTCCCCCTCCTCCCTCCTCCTCTTCCTCCTCCTCCTCCTCCTCCTCCTCCTCTTCTTCAGCCTTTTCCTTCTCCTCATCCTCCTCCTCCGCCTCTTCCCCCTCCTCCTCCTCCTCCTTTTGCTCCTGCTCCTCCTCCTCCTCCTCCTTTTCCTCTTCCGCCGACATCCAAGTGGGCGAGTGTCTTGGGCTTGGGGCCACCGAGAGCTTTCCTTCTGTCCCAGCGTTGGGTAAGAATGTACTCAGGAGTTGGGATTCCCCCTTTTCCGTTCAGCTCAGCTATGAGAAGCAGAGCGCAGGCACGTTGTTACACATGCGCGATGTTCTTTACGCCCGATTCCAGAAGGTCAAAGCCCATGCTTCGAACGAACGTCTCCGTGGCGTAGACCGTTTCTACAATAAAGGTAATGCTGAAGCTGATTTGGCGGCGAAAAGGGGTGCACACCTCCACCCCTCTCCCAGCCAGTCGGAGTTCTGCACGATTCAGGACCAGATAAAGACATCTCGGGCTGTGATTCGGCTCGTTGCCCGAGTCTTGCCTCTTTGGCCCCGTCTGAATTATCATGGAGTCTCACTGGTCGCGAGCCCATGTCGGAGAGAAAAGCAAACTGGCCATGCTCACGATTGGTCTTTTTATCTCAGCTTTTGGAGGTGCCGCGTTTTCTTGACGACCGGTCTTAGAGAGCAGAAGCCTCCGAGCAGTGGATGTGTTGGCCCCCCACCAAAAAGAGTCCTTGCCATTGCCCATCACCATTGCAAGCTGGCCGTTTTTTCAAAGACCGATGGCCTATTGTTGCACGCGTGCAGGAAATGTTTCCTAAACAATAAGGGGCGGGTCAGGAATCTGTCCAAGGATGATTGCCCTAGCGCCCCTCAGATAAGGTGCGCTCCTCACCTGGAAGGACAGATGTCGGGGGAAGCATCCGAAGCTCCCGACTGTTCGGGTCGAGCCATTCTCCATACGTGAGTAAGCATGCGTGCCTCACCCTGGTGAACAACGTCTTCTCCTCCTCCTCCTCCCCCTCCTCCTCCTCCTCCTCGCCCTCCTCCCCCTCCTCCCCCTCCTCCTCTCCCTTTTCCCCCTCCTCATCCTCCTCCTCGCCCTCTTCTGGCACTCGCCCGGGGCCCGCACCTCAATGGCCGAGGCTCGAGGTCCCAGGCACATCCGGCGTCTCGAAAAAGTCCAGACGGATGTGCTTCCTTGTTCTCGGCGGCCCAGGGAAGGGGTCGAGAGGTTGGGGGCCCGTGCCTCGACTCGACGTGAAAGTGACCTTTCGCCAGAGTGACCACTGGTGTGGGCTCACCAGGGTCCCCCGACCGCTGAGCCCGATGCGATAGTGCTTGCTTGCGCGCAGTCCGCGCACTAAAGGTGACTCTTGCCTAGGGCCTAGGGTCACTCGTGTGTGTAGCCGACCGTATTTTGAAAAAGCCGTGGCGCCAGATGTTTGGGATTGGCGTTGCAAGGATAACGTGTGATGTGGCGCCGCCAGCCCGCTGATGACACGCGATCCCCCAAATTGGAGATAGCGTGCTCCCAAGACATCCTGTTAATGGGATGGCGCACAGCCCTCGTGGAGGATCGCCTCACAGGGATAGCGTGTTTTTCGGAGATCGATGTTGCACGCTGTCTGCGGGTCCAGTTGGTGCCTTTGCAGAGATGCCCTTCGAGTTTCCCCGCAGCGCGCGAGCACCAACGGGCTGGAGGCGGATGGCCCTTGCCCGGAGCCGCCAGCCGTGCCCGCGGGTCGCCCTGCACCTGGTCGTTCCCCACATGATCGGCGCGGGCCAGGTGAAGGAGGCCCTCGCGAGAGTCATCGCCTTCATGTTCTATCTATGCCCGCGCGAGTGCCTCCGCCTGAAGAGCGAGCTGGTCGCCGCCCCAGCCCCGTCGGCTCGCCGCCCACCAGGCGTGCTCAGCCAGCCGCGGCCCATCCTTGCTCATCCTCAGGAGGTGGCCAACACGTCCAAGACTGGCCACGTCGACGAGCGCCTCGTGGCGGACAACCCTATGTTCCCGTGACTCCCGCTGGTCCTCGAGGTCCTCAAGGCGAAGTTCCCCGACGGCGTGCTGATCTTCGACTTCGGCCAGGCCGCGTTGGGCCGCGCTCTCAAGCAGGCGGCGGCGGCCTGCTGGCTGACCTCCCCCCTCGGGGCCCCAACCTGCATCGCCTCCGCCACGGGAGTGTGTGTGTCTCGCGACATGCTGTTCAAGGCCCGCTCCCTCCCGAGTGTCAAGATGCGCGATTGCTGGGCCAGCGACCGCAGCCTCGTCCGCTACGAGCGCGGCGGCCGCATCAACGAGCAGCTGGGCCTCCCGGACCTCGGCGCCCTCGGTGGCGCCGAGGAGGCCGCCCAGGAGATTGGCGTCGTCCTCGCGAATGCATGCCGCTCGTTGTGAGACAGCGCGGGCAACTGGCAGCACTCGAGATTTTCGCAGTTTCAGGACACTTGTCTGAGGCTTGGCGTCGGTCGATGACCACGTCCGGCCACCTTGTTTTCGAGATCGACATTCGGCATAGACCCTCACGCGACATGGGCAGCCGTGCCCTTGTTCAGCTTATCCGCGGTTTGATCCGCAGTGGTTTGGTGGTTGCTGTTTTTGTGGGTGCCCCGCGTCGCAGTTTCTCGCTCGCACGGAATCATCCCGACGGCCCTCCTACTTTGAGGACTTCGGATTGCCCCAAGTGCTTGCCCATGCTCAATGATGCATGCCGTAAACAAATCGACCTCAGAAACAAGTTGTGCGCCTCGTCCTTCAGCATATTTCACGAATGTCGATTGTGTGGATACCCCGTGGCCGTCGAGAACCCAGCGGGCCCCCACCTTTGGAGGCAGCCTGAAGTCCTTCGGGCCCGTCGGCTCCCAGGAGTCCCCAAGGTCGTGTTCGACATGTGCGCTTTTGGCACGTCTTGGCGGACATCCGCCCGTCTCCTTGGTTATCATATCGAGCTGGAGCCGTTGGCGATTCGATGTCGAGGGCGAAATGTGTGTGCACGTTTCCTGGCGGCCCCAATTAACTTTTTCCCGGAAAGGGCAAAGGCCCAGGGTTCTCTTTTAGTTGGTTTCCCCCCGGTTTTGACGGCTGTAGGGCCGGCGAATTTCTTTTGCGATAAATAACGAGGTCGCGTAGGGCCGGCGAATAAAATGTTGAGGATGTCTCGAGCGAAACGCTTGTTTTTCAGAATTTGTTAAGGATGTCTCAAGCGAAACGCTTGTTTTGTGCTATAGAGTGTCCTCTCCTGGGGACCTGAATTCTGAGGATTTCTCAAGTGGATTGCTTGTTTTCACGTGCCCAGGTCTTGAGGATGTCTCGAGCGAGACGCCTGGTTTCACGCCTCCAGGTGGCCCAGACAGATGTCTAGCATGAGGATTTGTTGAGGATGTCTCGAACCAGAGGCTTGTTTTCACGTGTCCAGGTCGCCCAGGCGGATGTCTAGCATGAGCATTTGTTGAGGATGTCTCGAGCGAGACGCTTGTTTGCACGTGTCCAGGTTGCCCAGGCGGATGTCTAGCATGAGGATATGCTGACAACGTCTTGAGCGAAACGCGTGTTTTCACGTGTCCAGGTCGCCCAGGCACAGCACAGCCCTCGGCACGGTACATCAATATCGATACCCTGAGCATTGCAGCCTGGCATGTTGCCTGGCACGTTCCGCGGAGCGTCCCGTGGCGAGTCCCCCTGGCACGTCGCGCGGTGCACGTCCATTGGCACGTTCCGTAGCGCGTCCCCTTGGCACGTCCCGCGGTGCGTGCCCATGGCACGTCCCCTGGCACGTCGCCTGGCGCGTCCCTTGGGACGTTCCGCGGCGCGTCCTCTTGGCATGTTCCCTCTGTCGATTAGTTCTGGGGCAGCTACCATCTGCTCAGGCAGCTCGAGCTTACGATCCAGATCAGTTCGGTGAGGACTCGGATGCCAGGGAGGACTCGATCCACAACGCTATACAGAGCACAATCGCGGCATGGCACATCGCAGTTCAGCACGGCCCAGCACAGCACAGCCGTCGGCACGGTACATCAAGATCGATACACTCAACTATGCACCTTGGCACGTTCCTTGGCGCGTTCCTTGGCGAGTCCACCTGGCACGTCGCGCGGAGCGTCCCCTGGCACGTCCCTCGGCACGTCCACTGGCACGTTCCGTAGCGCGTCCCCTTGGCACGTCCCGCGGTGCGTGCCCATGGCACGTCCCCTGGCACGTCGCCTGGCGCGTCCCTTGGGACGTTCCTCGGCGCGTCCTCCTGGCATGTTCCCTCTGTCGATTAGTTCTGGGGCAGCTACCATCTGCTCAGGCAGCTCGAGCTTACGCTCCAGATCAGTTTGGTGAGGACTCCGATGCCAGGGAGGACTCGATCCCCAACGCTATATAGAGCACAATCGCGGCATGGCACATCGCAGTTCAGCACGGCGTAGCACAGCACAGCCCTCGGCACAGTACATCATCATCGATACATTCAGCATTGCATGTGCCCGTCGCCCAATCAGGTGTCTTTGAAATGTTGCAATGCCTTACATTTCTATATTCCTTTCCGGGTTCGTGGGTCGATCATGTTTAGATGAAAGGCTCGAAGACCAAGCAGGCCGAGGTCTATACTTTCCCTCTCAGCCGGGCTGTGGTGCGCCAGTTTCGCGAAGCGTTGCTGTTGAAGTCGATTCGAGAGTTTCGGCCACGCACGTGTGTCCAGGACACTGTTCGCAAGTAGTCCTGTATGGGGGCTGTGTGCGCTTGGGCTTTACGAGCTGGTTTGGAATTTCAACAGCAGCTGCGTCTTTGAAGTGTTGATGCTGTATCCCCTTGGAACCTCCTCGGGGACTAAGCACACATTCGCACAATGATTTCGCCCTGGCGGATGGAAGACGAACGGCCATGCATCGTCCTCCGCCTCCTCCTCCATTCTCCATTTCCTCCGCCTCCCCGTCCCGATCCTCCTCCCACGATCGGCGATCAGGGTAGCACCCTCCGCCGTCCAGGAGGGAGGCGTGGTCGTGGCCGCCGAGTCGGACCAGATCCTCGTCACGTGCTTCCACCCCGAACTCACGGAGGACGGGCGGGCCCCGCAGGTTTCGGGGGTCGAGCACGTCTCGGGCTTTGTCTGGGGCGGCCTGGAGACGCCTGCAGGGCCTCGGGTTGCGCGCGCTCGGAGAATTCATTCCTCGAGGACTCAAGTCGGTGGCGAGCGAACGGGTGAAGTGAGAAGGAGTGAGAAGGAGAAGGCCTTCGTAGAAGGCGGCGGGACTTCTCAGAAACCCTCCAGCGTCCTGAGCGGTTTTGGGGGTCTTCGGGGAAGGCTTGGATATTTTCTCAGACGTCCCGGGAACTTCAGAGTTTTCTGAAAAGGCCTTTTCTCCTTCATTTCCCCCCGGGCACGCCGCCCATCAAGGGTGCCCGCGGTCCGGTCGGTTTGGCTGCTTTGGAGTCGGCGGCATTCGATCGGCTCGGTTCGGTCGAGTTCTTTGCCGCTGTGAGTTGTGTCCTTCGGCCCAGAGTCGTCGCTTGCATCGTGTCTTTCGAACCGGTTCGGTAGGCTTTTGGTTTTGGTGCCCCGTGGACGCCCATGCCTCCAAAGGTTTGCAGAGGCCTCCATAGACTCCGGGATCCCGTCTCGAGGACTCGAAGGCGACACAAGCATCTGTTTTCAGAGGTCTGCGCGGATTTCTTGTGACGTCGCTGCGCTCCCCCCTCCCCCCTCCCTCGTGGGCGGGTGACGTATCCATATCCGCGGCCTCGCAGAGGCCCCTGGACCGCGCCCCCATGGATACGGGGCGGTGTTTCGCCGATGCCCCGCGCAGAACGCATCCATGCGACCGCGTATCCACGGGATCGCGCCCCGGCATCCAGACCGCGACAGCGTGGATCTGGGCATGTCCACGAAGCGTACGCCGTTCCGCCGACACCGTGCGGCATTTGTACGCGGCCTGGGCTTTCTTAGGTTTCAAGTCGAAGTCTCCTGGCGGTCGGGTTCAGAAGAGGGAAGACTATCACTTTGAGGCCGTTTGGGGCCTCTTGGGGATCCTTTTGGTTTCTTTATTTAATCGCTTCGCTCATTCCGCCGGCCCTGGAGCGCTATTTGGGGCCTCTTGGGGCTGTCTTGGGGGCTTCTTGGGGGATTCTTGGGAGCGTCTTGGGGCTCCTTGGCGGCGTATTGGGCTCCCCTGGGGCCTCTTGGGGGGCTCTTGGGGGCCCCTTGGGGCGGGAGGGGGGGGTAGTCGTTGGCAGCCCCCCCCCTCGGAGGCCACGATCCTCGTGAGGGGTGGCGAAAAATAGCCTCCCCCTCGGGGATCGCCCGGGGGTCAGCCGGGGATCGGCCGGGGTACTTTTCGTCCGGGCCCCCCCAGGGGCCGCCCCGCGCGCGCGAACTAGAAATATTGTTAAGTAGTTACCGGAGATCTTAGCACGCCTCTGGCCCGTTGGGCCGGCGAATTTGGGCCGCTTGGGGGCTCTTTGGGCCTCTTGGGGGGTTTGCGCACTCCGCTCCTCTCCATCTCTGTGTGCCGTTCCCTGATCTATTGGCCGATTCATGGAATCGTAGAATTCCTCTCACGCGGACAGGTTCGGGTTCGGGGGGGGGTCATGATTTATTGTCCGTGCCTTGATCATTGCCATGCCTCTCTCCTTTACAGCTGTTTCCCCAACACTTCTTGCACGTTGTGGCTCTGACTTGTCTCAGTGAGAGTTGGATTGATCCGCCGAGGTTTTGCCGCGTCGCCGCCCGTGGCCGCCTCGTGGCCGCCTCGTTGCCGCCCGGGGTCCGCCGAGGTTTCGCCGCGTCGTCGCCTGTGGCCGCCCCGTGGACGCCTCGTTACCGCCAACTTGGGACTCGGCTGAGGTTTCGCTGCGCCGCGAACCGTGGCCGCCTCGTGGCCGCTTCGTTGCCGCTCCCTTGGCCGGGGGTCCTCCGAGGTTCCGCCGCGGCACCGCCCGTGGCCGCCTCGTGGCGGCCCCAGTGCCAGCGTGTCCCCGGTTCCGTTCGGTTCGTTTCGGTGGGGGGGAAAGTGGTTCGGTTCAATACGGCTCCGGCTTCGGAGCTGTTTGAGGCGATTTCCATTCAGAGAGCGGCTCCGTTTCAGCCGGTTCCATTGCTGTTCTCGGTTTTTGACGTGTGCGCGTGTGCGTCTACATGATCATATGGAGGCGTTTGGAGGTTCAGTTCAACCAGGAGTCAGGAGGAACCGTGGGGCCAGGGGAGCAATTGGGCCCAGCTACCCGACGAGCCAGGGGAGCCATCGGGCCCAGACGTTACGCATGGTGCCCTCGACGGACCAGTCGACAGCATCGTGCCCCCTGGACCAGGGGGCTCTGGCGACAACGGGCGATTCCTCAGCGCCAGGATAGAAAACGCTTGGACTACGGTCTGGGACAGTACGGACCACTCACTCCTGGCATGGGTCATCCCAAAGGACAACTGGGAAGGCAAGGGCGCCGCCCGCGCCCTTACCAGGCGCGCGCAGGATGGTGGGGGCCCATCCCCGGCCGCCGTCCCCAGTTCGGCCCTGGAGGCCCCAAAGCGCATTTTCGAACCGTCCAAAAATGCGATTTGAGCTTTTCCGCCGCCCTTCCGTCTCCAGTGCAGCCCTGGAGGCTCCGAAAACCACATGGAAACCCAACGCGCATTTTCGAACCGTCCAAACATGCGATTTGAGCTTATCCGCCGCCCTGCCATCCCCAGAGCAGCCTTGGAGGCTCCGAAAACCACCTGGAGGCCCAAAACGAATTTTCGACCCGTCCAACAATGCGATCTGAGTTTTTCCGCCGCCCTTCCGTCCCCAGTTCGGCCCTGGACAAGCAGCAACACAGGACGAGGGAAGTCGGGAGCGGGCGGGATGGACCTAGCGCAAGAGTGACCGCTCGCACCGGGCAGTTCCCAAGGGCCCACCTCCACGACTGGTTCCCGGTTCGGTTCCCGGTTCGGGCCTGGTTCAGTTCCACCGCCTCCGGTTCGGTTTGGTTTCGGTTCGCGTCGGGTTCCTTGCGGGTTCTGGTTCCGTCGGTTCTCCCTCGGTCGGTTCGGTTCTGTGGTTTGTGGTTCGGTTCTGTGGTTCATTGCAGTGCCGCCCACTTATTGGTTGGGTCCGCCGAGGTTTCGCCGCCGCGTCGCCGCCCGTGGCCTCCTCGTTGCCGCCTTTTTCGGGTTTCTGCCGAGGCTTCGCCGCGTCGCCGCTCGGGGCCGGCCTCGTGGCCGCCTCGTTGCCGGCCCCTTAGGGGATCCGCCGAGTTTTCGCCCCATACCCTGTACCACCTATGGCTTCCGCACAGCTTGCACCACATAGCTTGCACAACACAGCTTGCACGTCCACAGTCGAGCAACTTATTGTGTGGGTCCCGCGCTGCGAAACATGCTTGCGTAATGGATTATTCGTCATTCTTCGTTGTCTCGCCGAGCGCAGCGGTGCGGCCTGTCAGGCATGGGGGGCCCGCATGGGGGTCTTGGGGGTGGGGCTCTTTAGGGGCGCAAACATAGATTCAGGCGCGTGGAGCAGTGACGGGCCACTCACGCTGCCATTCAAAATCATCGCGCTCCGTCACCAAAACAAGCACAATGGGCTTCACGTTTCGCGAAATTTCTGCCGCGATCCGTGGATCTGGCGCGCACGGATCCCTGATCCGTGTCAGCGTGCCCCCGAGGGAGAGGCGTAAAGAGTTTTAGTCCTTCCGTGCTCCGACGGGGGCGCCAAGCGGCAGAGGGCCTGGAGGCACGGAGATAGCCCGAGTGTAGACACGGGCTGCCCCGCCAGGGTGCAGAAGGTGCTGGTCGCGGCAGGCCTCCGGTCGTGGGCGAGAACCGATCCGCATCCGCCGCGTCGCGGGCCTGGCCCTGGGGCCACGACCCTGCGGATGCGGGGGCGTCTTTTCGCGCACTGCCCCGCGCGAAACGCTCCCGCGCGACCGCGCATCTGCGGGACCGCGCCCCACACTCCAGACCTCGAGGGCGCGGATGCGGTTCGCCGCTCGTGGGGCTTCGGGAGGTGCGGGGCGGCCGGGTCGGCCAGGCCCTCGCGCGAGCCTTGCGGAGCCTTGGCGCGAGCCCTGCGGAGGCGGGGAGCGGCGGCGCAGGTCGTAGCCCGCCGGCCTGCGGGAGGGGCTGCGCAGGGCCGGCCGTCCTCGGGCTTACTCTTGCTCGCCCGGCCCTGGTGGCAACTCGTCCCGGAGATGGGCGGGTCGAAGGATGAGGAGGAGGAGGAGGAGGAGGAGGGGGGATGTAATGCGTCGAAGGAGGGGATGGTGAAGAAATGGGGAGAAAGCAGATGAGGAGGAGGACGAGGAGGAGGTGGAGGAGGGGGAG